AAAGTACACACATTCTGACATTGTACATACTGTAACAATAATCAATAATTAACTCATTGGGCTCTTTGAATAAAACATGAATTAATTAATCTTGTGATGATTACAAATAATTATCCTTTACAGTTATGCATAACAAATCTTATAATACTAGTACTAATTGTTCTCCTCTCACACACATTCTACTTCTAGCTCTTTGTCACACACTGTGCACTTCTCCTGTGTCGCTTCTCAACCAGCTTGGTTGACGGTCAATTCTTGACTCACTTGCCAAGTCATAATTTAACTCCACATAGCCAGAGTGACTTACATGTGCAGGTCGTGTCTGCAGTGAGAACTGCCAAGACGAGTTGAGATCGTGCAATTCTATTGTGTAAAGTTCTAGAAACTGTGTGTGCCACGTGATGCAAATCACAGCCTGTAGAAAAGCTGCTGGAAGTGACTCAAGTTATGTGTGCACAGGCCTGGATGACATAAGACACAGCCAGGCAGAGGCTGCAAGAAGTAACTTGAAGTCCTCATAGCAAATGTTCATAACAATACATTTCAACATGTAAGATTTGAGGTTTTCACAGCGGTGAGTATGAAGATTTCTGTCTTCTGGGTTGTTGCGCTGTGTAGACTGGTCGATGTTAACCAATGTTTCAGAGGTCATACTGCCTCCGTTATCAGGGCGATGAATGTGAGGTTTATAAACCTAGCCCCACCCGCCCAATTGGCACATTCATCGCCCTGATGATGGAGGCAGTATGAACTCTGAAACGTTGGTTAACATCAACCAGTCTACACAGCGCAACAACCCAGAAGACAGAAATCTTCACATTTCAACTTGCCTGCCATGTCTGGAAATGTACCAGAAATCATTTCCTACTGTTGTCACATTTCTCTGAATATCGTCAAGTGATTCAAAATGAAACCTTTCAGAGGATATATTTTAGATTCAGGAATATGAAAAGCCATACAGTGTAAAATCATGCGAGTATGGTGGACATATCTGTTCTCTGGCAGAGGAAGGGCTCCTTTACCAAAAATGTTGTGCGGGAAGGTACATTGTCATGATGAAAAATTCACATGACAAGCCAAAGATCTGGCAATCTCTTAATAACAATACTGCCATAATATTCCAAAAGTTCAAGGTAGAATACTGGAAAAAATCATGTTTTGAAATCTCAACATCTTTTATCAAATCTATCTCATAGTTTCTTTATTAATATTCCACTCTTCTATTATTTTCTGAAGAGATGATAAATGATTATTTCTACCTGTTCAGTCACTTTTCCACGCCTGGATCACTTCTTTTAACATGCTGGATGGCCAAGTATTTAATCAATTGTACTGTCTTCCCTTGGCTTGAAACTACTTAAAACACACCAAAACATGTTCTACTCATTGTTCCTGCACCATAAACTTGATCTAACATCTCCAAATGTCAGTGACACATTTCTTCAATGCCTTAAAAAATTTAATTTTATCTATTCTAATAATTTTAATCATTTTTTTAAAACTTAGCCAAATAAAACATTTATTAACTGTAATCACAAGATGACTTGGATATAAAACTACTGAATCACATGGTCGAACACACCAATTAACCAGTGCTGCCAGATGCTGCACACAAACATCAGTCACACTATTTAATTACAAGACCTTGTACTCTCCCACAAAAATATATAAGTTCACAGATTGTGAGGACATGAAATTAATTGAGCAAAATGATAGAAGTGCCAATATCCACTATGAATGTAAAAGTATCATTAGGTTTCTCTACATCTCAAATGATTAATTTAATTTTGCAACATTTTTCAATCAATGTTGAATTTGGGTTCTTTTAAAATGGCAAAAATATTTACATCTATCATGTAAACAACACAGCACATTGATGTTTGCTTTCTGTGAACATAGTGAGATTGCCACTTGGTAAGATTAAAGGAAAATCTAGATAAAATAGATTATCTAATGAGGAACACATCTGAGAATCTGAAAGGCATCAATTCTGGACTTCTGGATTATGTTGCAGTGGAAAAGGATATATGTTCTTCCAAAACACTGGTAAACCACCTACAAGATTACACATTACAACCCACAAGACTGCTGTTGGCACTTGAGTAAGAATTCACAACATGGTAATACATAATAATTCATTGTAAAATAACCACTTCATGAAAAGTCAGTACTAGAAAAGAATTATTCCAAAACATCTATAATTCTAGTCTGGACTGTAGATGAATGATCATGTCTTCAACTTTGCTATAGTAAATTTAACTTGGGCAAAAATTCACAAATTATGAATAAAGTTCATAAAATATATGATGTAATTTATATTTGTATTAGAAACAAGTTCCGTATTTGTGTTTTGACATGTTCTACATCCTTAACTAGGCCTAAAATGGATCTATGGAATGTAAATAAAAGTTCTCAGAAGAGGTTTGATTGTGTCAGAAATAAAACACAAATCATCTAGGAAAAACTGTGCAAGGCTTACCCATAATTGAAAAAAATTCAAGTGATGCTTTAAACATGCAACATAACTATTTCAGTATTTAACGGTAGTCCGTAACCTAATACCACACAAAACATGCACTATACCCAGTTTCTGTCTATCTTACCCACGACAGCTGCATCCAAAACGTGGGTAAATTAAGACTTTAAATATTTCGAAACGATTTTGGTTATTGTCACGGGGGACAAATGCAGCGCAGATATCTGTACCTTTATTTCGTCGCCAAACTTAACCATAACACCACTATCTTATTGACCCTTTAGCTTGAACACAATGGCCGAAGGTTCCTAAATATCAAATGCCTTACGTCTAGTACAACAAAAGGCGCATCAAATGAAACATGCCATATAAAAATATCATGGTTTATTTGATAATCCCGCTTTTCGTACATTTGACACCACGTACATTCCTGTGCCGCCCACATATAAAAAACATAGTGATGGTAACAAACTTCAATAATTCGTTACTTACCAACTAATCTACTCATATCTCCATGCTCGTCCCTTGTTTTGATCATCTCCAACTGAACGCGAATCCAGAATTACTCTACTTCGAACTTACACTTCAACAGTAACACAATACATAAAAGTCTACTTTCTTAGTGTCATGCGACGCCATGTTGTCGAAATTTCAATAGAAGTTTAAATGTCAGATATAATCGTATGTATTTTTGACTAATTGCAATAAAATTAGCGATGTTGTGTCAATATAGAATGTTTCCGTTACCGAAAGGAAAAATATTAATATTAATGTACTGTATAATAAAATATCCTTCACAGCACACGTTATGAAAATAGTGAAACATAATCACTGGATAGTCCCATTTAATTTTAATTCTACAAGAATAATCAGTAGCATACTAAATGACATGTAAAAAACACGTATTCATTTTTAATACGTTATCTCCCACGGCAGCCGATGTATTCTTATTGTATTATGTTATCACATTGTACCATAAAAATTGTTAAAATAGAAATTAAATATTTATCGTAAGCTGTATGAAGACGTATTTGGGAATGTTATAGTTCAGTGAATTGGTAAACTCAGCACTAGATGAGGTGATCAGCCAGCTTCAAAATCCCTGAAATTGTCCTAGATGTGGCAAAGATAAATATTGCAACCCCCTTCCTGGAATTGAGAATTTAAAAGTATCATGAGTGGTTAGAATTAAATGACATTAATCTGTTATTTAGTTATTATATTGCTAATTTGATGGAGGATAATATGAACAGAAGCCCCCACTACAATGCCCCTCTATATATGGCCACCCTTGCATTGCACCCAAGAAAGTCTCAAAATAGAAATTCCTTATGTAATTTCAAAGAGAAGCACCCAGTAAAGTGCTAACGCTGCTAGCTGCCATCTACCAGAATCTGTGGCCATACAAATACATTATTAAGCTTTAAAGTTAGCACCATACCATTTTGTTCTACAAGCTATACTGGAATATTCATACGTATGTAAAAATACTGTACATTAACTCTTGAATTAACACATTAAACTTACTCTGGTATGAAACCGTCTATTGTGTCTTTGACCAGACAAGATAAAATATCATGTAAGGTAGCTAATAAAACCTTTAAAAATATGGCAATGTTTGGGAATGACAGTAACAAATCAAAATCATAATTATGAAGAAGAAAAAGGGCAGATATTCTACCATCTAATTCAGAATCTTTCGTTTTCCTGTTGGCTACTTAAAACATAATGATTAAAATATACAAAAGTATTTCTTTTTTTGCATGTTTTGTACAATTGTGAAACCTGGTCTCAGACATTAACCTTTTCAGACATGCGTGGTCACAGTACACAGCACGACCGACTATGCATCACAGGAACATACTGCCAGACAGTTAAACTCTGGTTTTAAAGTATAACCAGCAGCCATGTAGTAAGGGATTTAAATCCCTTATTCTGTACAGTGAAAATTAAGGGAAGAATACTGATTTAGTGTTTGAGAACAGGGTACTGAGGAAAATGTTTGGACCTACAAGGGATGAAGTAAAGTAGGGTGGAGAAAACTGAATGAGTAGTTACATAATTTATACTCTTCATCTAATATTAATAAGATGATGAAATCAAAGTAGGATGAGATGGGCATTACATGTAGCATACATGAAATATGTTTACTGATAAGGATGGAAGAAATGTAAAGGACCAGCATATGTTTCCAGAGGCATGATCATGAAGTGGTATTTAAGTTAACTTTATCTTTACATGTTATAAATCACTACAGCATAAAATAATAATCACATTTTTAAGGAGTTTGACTCTGTAGCACAATATAAACCATTACAACAGGTAAGAAATACAGAAGAGAGCCAGCTGTCACACTGTGAAGGCATCCTGAGTTCTTATTTAGTAACACTCTGCTATTATGACATGTAGTAAAATCCGAGAAAATTATCATAATGAATTATCACTATATAAGACTCATTAATAATATAAGTTTTGAAATATATAAATGCTGAAAAAATACAAGAAACTGTAAAACTGTATCCCGTTTTAATGAGTTCCTCAATCATATTACTTTTTCTCTGAAGTTGGTATTACTTTCATAAGAATGTAAAGTGAAGGATGGATAGGGAACATAAAACCAAAATTGGTTAAAAGAGTATCAATTAAACTTAATTAAATAATTTTTACACAAAAAATAAAAAGCAGTTCCTTGCCTTTTCATTGAGTGCTCATACATCACCTTCAACTTATGCTAATTGTTAAATATTATTAATACAGTTATTTTCAATCAGTTTCACATTTGCTTACACTAAAATTAATTGAATGTGTGCAAAACTGTAATTTCTTTGTATAAATAAGTTATTTAGTAATGCTTATTACCAATCCATTTGTCCACATATTCATTTCTGAATGCTGAAAGTTATCCAATACATTTTTCTGTTTTCCATATATGAGTAATCATTACACAAGATAGAATTAACACTAGCTACAGGTGGGAAGTCAGAGGTTCACTTTGGTGCTGTTCTACTAACAGAGGGGCACAACAAGGCACTACTACAACAGGATGCACTATGATCCTGTAACCTGGCCTTACCAATCAATCAGAATGAGACTGTGCACAGACATTCATGGTTTCACTACACAGGTGGTCATTCACCTAACAGATCTGGAGATAAAGCACAAAGGCCCTAGTTAGGTTTCACAGTTGATATCTGAATTCCAAACACTAGTTCCATCACCGTTTAAAAACTGTTGAATTTGAAATTCAGAGCATGGCATTCTAACTCAATACTGACAAACCAAGCTCATTTTCTAATAATCATATTGTCTAAGAAATATTTCTTTTTAAGCTTCTCTGTATGCCTGTCATACATACCAGAAACTTTAAACAGAGCAACGAAAATGCTATTTTCAGTTCCAAAACTATGAAACATAACTTGGTGGCATAATCCAAGCTAAAGACAAAGCCTCTTGACATCAGCTTCAAAACTATTTAGTGAACTCCTCTATTTGGTTCATACTCAAAAGCAATGCTCATAAGGATCACTGTTATGCACACAGCAATGCAAAGTGGTGTGATCAGACATGGTAATGAAATCATAAAGCATACTAACATAATTTTATAATGTGTTGTTGATTCAAATAAGCACCTTAACGAGTCCCCGTTATGTGAGCTTGTGTCAGAATTCACACACCCATGCACTAGTCCATTCATGCCATACACATTTCAAATTGTATCTAACACCATTTTCTTACAATTCCTAATTGGCTATCATGAACTGTCCTGTTCTGATTTAGAATTAACACTGCTCACTTAACTTTTTACTTTTACTTGTTTATGCATTTATTTATTCACTTCTTCTTTGTTGTACAATTTATGAAAACAAAAGGTCAATTTTATAGCACTTTGTACAATTTGCAGAACGCTTTCACTGACGCTGATGTTGTACTGTCTCCATTTTCAGGCCTGAAGATGGAGACAGTATGTTTCTCTGAAACAATGGTACCTACTTACAGGTATACATGGCATCACAACCCAGAAGAACATCACCACCACCTTGAGAACTTCAAATCTCTCATATCTTCAGTGACTGCATTTATATGCAGAACTGCCCTGTTTATAACAGTGAAAGTATGAAGAGTATAAGTAAACAGTGTATACAACTTGAGCCTGTCTGTACTTTCATAATATACAATGGATAAAGCAGAATATCAGTTTGAGTTAATCTGACTTAATATATGAATGAGCACTCTTTGACAGGCTCTACCCAACAAAGACAGAGAATTCAGTATGTATCTGCATAAGTAAAGTGCCTAGGATTCATAAAAAAAATGAGGAATTGTATGGAATGGTTTCAGCAGACAGTGAGTGTAGACAGTATTTGAATTTTTCTTCCACGCTGTAATGTTTAACTTCAACTTTCAGGTGTGAGCTGTGTCAAATGCTGTGTATTAACCAGTTTGCAGTTGCCATCTTCAGGGTGAATGTATAGTAAGGTGAGTTCTGGAAGCCTTATATATGGCAGGCTGTAGGCAGCTAATTAGAGGTGATAGTGGTGATTAATGGAGTGGGCTGCTATCCAGTGGGAGAAGAGCATGTGTTTGAGGAAAAGATATGACAGAAAAATTTTCTTTTATGAACATGTGGTAACTAAAGTTGGAGATATTTCCTCAGACACATGCTCTTCTACCACTGGATAGCAACCCGCTCCTCTTCTTCACCAATCAGCAACACCAAATTTAACTTGCCACCCACTGCTTGCCCTAAATAAAGCGTTGAGAACTCATCACATTACACATTCACCCCGAAGATGACAACTGCAGTGTTTGCCAAAATGCCAGTTAAAACATTCGACACAGCTCATACCTGAAAGTTTAAGTTATATGTTGATCTCCAGCCGCAAAAACCTAAGAACAAGAAAACTGCAATTTTATCTCAAAACATGGGATATAAAACCATATCTTATTTTACAGTTATACAAAAGACTAAGAGAATTGTGTATTGCAACACTCATAAAGTGAGGTATTCTACAAGATATGACAGTTCTTACAAGAACCAAAAGTTTTCATTCCCATTTGAAAATTACACACAGCTGCAAAGTAAAAATATAGATACACACATCAGTTATATGTATGTCTACAATTCATAATTCCAGTACAAACCTTATTTACATTCACATAATGCAGTATAATGCTGTACATATCAGGCTGGGTTCTGGCTGACTCAATTTACCCACACAAAGCACCTTTCAAGAAGAATAATACTTATTAACAAAATTAGTTGGCCTGCACTCATATTAAATTATTGGTAACAATATTAAATATTGTACTCAGAAGTGTAACCAATTACTAACAAACAGTAAAGGCAGAAGTTCATGTTTATAATACTTTTTATATATCATTTCATCCAGTATAATAACTTATAATGTGCTCAATGCATATCAACAACAGCCTATTGGCTCTTTGTACAGTTCTCTAGTAGAAATCCTCTTGCAACAGGATTGTGCTGAACACTTGAATAGCACTGTCAATCTCACATTTAGATGCTTCAGAAGTTCCACATCATCACCATGTTATTTGCGTTGTGCTGGAGGGACATACATCTGCTGCTGAATGCGGGGAGGTCTCCGATCTCGATTCCCTGCACCTTCTCCTCCTCCACTCTTAATGTAAGGTCTTGTGCCACCTCTCCGGAACTCCAAGATACCTGTGCACAAGAAATCATAGATGTGCAGAGAAAAATGATTACTACACCCAGTCCATCCTGATGTAGCACAGAATATCCCAGGAAGTCCTCATGTAACTTTTCATTTTTTTATATATATTGTTTTACACAACATGCAAAAAATGAATGCATAATAAGCAGTAATGCCATATGTTTAAAATTTCAAAACTAACAGGCATCAGTAAAATTTCATGTTGAAGGGTCTACAATAAAAGTTAAGCATATTTAAGTTTTTAACCAATTATATATATATATATATATATCTATATATATAAAACAGCTTATTGATAACAAAATTTGTACATCACATAAAATAGAGACCTCAATAAAATCTATAAATTTAATTTGAAACATGTTTCAGTATGGTGAATACTTATAAAATACCACACATGTTAAAATCCTATTCACAATAGCAAATTTGTAACAGCCATAAACGAACAAATATCAATGAGGATTGTAAAATCACAAAAAGAATTATCTATAAATCTATGTAATGTGAATGGCTTTACAAAAACAGATTATATATGTTAGTCACTGTCAAACCTGATCTGTGCTCAGTCTCTCAAAGTTTTGAGAACATTAGTCATTACCTAATTCACCAGACTTTTGTTATTTGGTTGGGAAAGTAGATTTGTTTCAGCAATAAAAGCTGTGTATTCACAATGAATGAATATCCAGGCCTACATGGTAAGCAGAATCACAGGTATTCCAATTTGAGTAAACCATACCACTCTTGTTCCCTGTAACATCATGGACACACTGTACATTCTCTGTCATCTTTTACAATATGCAGAACTTTATTTAATATTCTTGTGTCACCAGTATTTGCGTTTACAAGAGTCTCAGTAGCAAAGTGGCACATATTAAAACCAGGTGAAATTTCAAGTTCTTACAGCAGCATGTATGGAGATGACTGTCTCTTGGGTTTCACTGTGCAGTCTGGTAGAAGTTTACCAGTGTTACAGAGGTTCCTGCTGCCTCCTTCATCATTGCCATCACCATGACTCATCATCCTGATAAAGGACGCAGCAAGCACCTCTGAAATGTCAGTAAACTTCTACCAGACTACATGGAGTAACAAATCAGAAGACAGTTATCTTCATACTACAACTATCTTACATGCATATAGAGATTCATTTAGGTTACTTGCAATGAAAATGTTTTTCTTATCTGGTAATCAAAACCCCTTTTTAAAATGATGTACTCAAATTACAAAATTACAGAATATATTTTAATAATTCAAACACCACTTTAACATATAAAACGACGTTTCGGAGATGAGGCTCTATCTCCGTCTTCAGGTTCCTACTCAGTTGGGCCCACTAGATAGAGCTAATCCCTATCTCCGGACTGATTAGCTCTATCTAGTTGGCCCAACTGTGTAGGAACCTGAAGACGGAACTTTAACATATGTTTGTACAATAATTAAAGTTTAAAATAAATGTGATAAAGCTGTGATGGACACCACTTTAGAAAAACATCTATGAAATACTGTACCAATTTAAGTAATTCACATACTTTAAAGCTGTGTTCATGTGAATTTCAGTCATAGTGAAATGAATGAAAATTTTAAATTGTCCTGTTATAGAATATGGCATTTTCTGAAAGAAGACACAGACAAAAAAAAATTCAAATGAAAAGGTTGGTTCATAGAATAATGAAAGGAAAATTACTTTGTAGGATTTGAGGTTTTCACAGTGGTGAGTGTAAAGATGACTGTCTGCTGGGTTGTTGCGCCATGTAGTCTGGTAGAAGTTTACCGATGTTTCAGAGGTCCTTGCTGACTCCATCATAAGGACGATGAGTGAGCCCTGATGATAAAGGCAGCAAGGACCTCTGAAATGTCAGTGAACTTCTACAAGACTACATGGCGCAACAACCCAGAAGACAGCCATCTTCAGAAAATTACTCTGTTTACATTCAAGAGTTGTTTTTTTAATATACAAGTAAATGATGAACTGTGATTACATGCTCAAGTTCTACCTTGGATATCTGAAAATACAGAACTATAACTGCTGTTGCATGGAGAGAGCTTCTGAATAATATACTGTAACTGAACTTGTACAAATAAAATAACTAACATACCTCATCAATTATTTAATAACCACAAAAAGCTACTCTTAATGACACTTGGACTTGGAGTTTCTTGCACACACATACCACTAAAAATCATTTATCTATAAACTAAACTGATATTGCATTATATTATGTTATATTGTAGTGTTATGGTGGGATGAGACTGTCTGTGTGGAACTGCGGCTGTGCTTTGGTCCTGTTATCCGTCCCCTAGATGAAACATAAATGAAGGAGCACTGGAGGAATCAATGTGCTTGAAGAAAAACCCATCCCAGTGCCACTCCATCCACCACAGATCCCATATGGACTGTTGTGGGAGTGAACCGAGGCCCCTACAGTAAGAAGATAGCGACTAAGCACTTGAGCTATGGCACAGCCTAAATGAACGGCAAAGTGAAGTAAAAGGTATTATTTATGAGTCTAAAACTGTTTCTCACCTGAGAAATGATTCTGGTTATAAGATGGGGATTGCAGAGACTCTGTGGAGTTGAGAAAGGCACTGGATGGCTGAATACTGTGTCCAAGCCCATCCTGAAAATCACATAAGGTCCTTTTACACAGCAACTAAAATAATGAAATCTGATACATCACACATGGATTTCATTTAAATATTACATACAGCATTGTTTGGTGCACAACTCTGATGTGTCTGAGCAGTGTTCCCAACTTTTGGGATATTAAATTGTCATACCTGACCTAATCTTGATTCAATTAGCTGACTGGTCAAGGACTACAATAACTGACTGAGCTGGTTAGTTCCAGTGGTAACATGAGCTGATCTGAGTATTATCACAATGATGAACTTTTGAAAGACCCTCTAAACATTACCTGACAAACAAGGAATATGAAGACCAAGTAAAAGTTTCCAACACATAAAACACAGGCTTTATATTAAAAAGGATTGAACACAGGAAATTTACATGAAAAATTAGCACTGCCTACATGGGTTCATAAATTAACACATATTAACTGCAGAGATTATTTAACGTTTAGTGACATTTGAAGACAACAAAGTATGTTGAACTGGAAAGGACGGAAAAGCAGCAGATGTGAACTATTTCAAAGTATCAATCCACCATTTTATGAGAGAGACTGAAGAAAATAATTAAGTCTCAATTATGATGATAGCTAGTGCCCTGACTGAAACTGTGACCAGTTGCCAGAAATCAACGTACCGGCTGAAGGGCTGTATTTCGAAGGCAACTGCATTTATGGGTTTCTTTGCAGTGAAAAATTTAGATATGACCAACTGTCCTAAATCGTTTTAACACTATCAAATACAAGGCTTGAAAAATGTAAAAAATCTGGTAGCCAGAGATATTTTTTACAAGATAAAAATACATCTAATTTATAGGGTTTTAGGGTACTCAGAGTATTGAAATGTTGGTCTAGTCTCAAGAGCTGGGCAAAAGCACACAGTAGCAGGCAAATCTCATTTAATGAAACTGCATCCACATGCCAAAAAGCCATCTCTCAAGTTCTGAGTGTGAAATTAGTTTCCAGCTAATATTTTCCAGTCACCACTGGCAACTAGGCAACTATAATTTTTGAGGCCTGATTACATATATACTTCATCCTCGTTTAAGTGAAGACATTTTTCTGGAATGCACTCATGCAAAAAAGAAACATTTTATCCTGCAAGAAAGCAGATACCAACAACATAAAAATAACATAATTGAAGTTGTGTTACTTTAACTGGAGATGTATGAAGCACATTACATCTTACCTCAGTAAAAGGGATGCAGTCATCCTGTAGAACTTCTTCATAGTTGCCATATTCAATGAAACGTACCACACATGTACGCTCTGATACACCTGTCACTTCAGCATTATAATACTGGAAACCACAAGACAATATCAGGAGGTGGAAACATAGTAATGCTGACTACTAAATAACAATTCAGAACAAATATCAAACCTCGTTTCTCTGGTTTCAGATGCATCACTATTCTAAACACATCCAATATTTTAGCCAACATTACTCTTGCCACTTTCGGAACGAGTGCCTAGAACCTGGGCAGATGTGGCCCGTGACTTGTTCATGCTCCAAGGTACACACAAGTCAGAGTACAACTCTAATTTGATGGAAGTTGAATGGTTAAGTAGAGAAATTAGCTCTGTTATGTTCCTATCTCCTCTGCTGATGTCATTTGGATGTTTCACATTTACACCCAAAAGACAACCATCTTGAGACTCATCGCCATGAAAACCTCAAATCTTGAATACATTTAATTATAATGAATGATCTTAATAATCTCCTTCAATGTGCTACATATATAGATCTATGTTTTACATTAAAGGACATTGCTGATAAAATTTAGCTGTATATGAAATGGTAGAATGAAATCCCTGATGACAATCAGTTGGTAACAAAAAATAAACACTATAAAATGAGTTGGAATGTATGGTTATTTGTATCGTAATATAACTTTTGCTATACAATGTTTTAGTTTGCAAACTTTCACCCCTCTAGTAACATACAATGTGTATCATAATTATGCAATTTCTCTCAGGATGTCAGTACAAGCCAATACAGAGACACACCACATGCAGAATAACCATTACAAAACTTACCATATTATCTTCCCAGTATTTGGCCATACATTTGTCTCCCTTATGCCACTGCCATGTCTTGCTGTCTGGTATGTACTGATTGGAGGGTGGACCATCTGAAGGAACCATTCCACCATAATTTGGGTTTGAATATATGTTGCTTCCATAAGGAGATGAAGAGGTGATGTTGGACATACTGTGTGAATTATTTAAGCTGCTAGATGTTTCTTTGAATGAAAAATCTATGGCATACATTTGGTTATTCTGGTGATTTTGTGTTCTTGGATAGTTGTTGAATGTTTCATGTGATAAGCTTGCACTGTGTTGATTTGAAAATTTGGCGGCTGAATTAAATGAAATATCCTGCTGCTGGCCAAAGTTCTGAGCAGTTACAACACCTTCAAATTGCTCCCCTGGACAATGATTTGTCTGTGCACCTACTGATGAATCAAAACTATTTTTGTATCCTCCATTTCCCACCTGCTGCTGACTCGTGGACTTATTTCTATCACTGTGGGACACAGTTCCATATGATTCCCGATGACTAGATGCACCAAAGTCATCCCTTGATCTGGTTGCACCACCGTTTAGTGCTGAGTTACGACCAGGCCATGTACCTCCATAATTTGATTCGTTGTATGAACTGGACCAATTCTGGTGTCCATACAAACTCTCATTAATGGCTTGCTGTTGTTGCTGTTGATATCGTTGCTGGTTCTGAAATCTGGGTGGTTTCTGTTGTTGCTGCAGTGAGGACCCTCCTGCATTACTTCCTGTAGCTGTCGCAGTGTGTCTTCCCCTGTCTACGCGCTCATCTCGATGCGTCACATTATTATGATGGTAGTTTGAATAGCTGTTTCCTCTGTCTCTGTCCTTAGTATCACTTCCACTCCAAGATGCTGTTCCTCTCCCTCCATGACTACCTCTACCTCCTCCTTTATTTCCACCACTTCCTCTTGGCTGAGAAAAATCTCCTCGTTCTGGCCGCCCACCCTTTGTGTTTGCTCCACCTTTATACAAGTCTGATGACATGAACTTTCGTTCTGATCCAGACCCACTCCTCGTATAAGCATGTTTTTGGTCCATGTCTTTCTCTGGGAGGGAAAAAATTCCTATATTAGCACGGACAGCACACATTATTAAAACCAACTTTGAAATCTTTCAGCCCTATGTTCCCAAGAGGAATAAAAGGAATTAACTAACTAACTAACTTGACATCTTTGGCACCTCATGTGAGACAGACTTAATTTCAGTTTAAGTTTAATTTGATTTGTTTAGGATTGTAACCATTGGATTAGGCCACTCAAACTCATGGCTCAGAGTTACAACATTTAGCCCTGGCTGATATGAGAAAATTGCATGACCCTCAGGACTTCAAAATGGACATCTGTTATGTCTTAGCTTGTTCTATCTGCTTTCTTATAATAGGAAATGAATGAATTAAATTTTTTTAAAATTATGTCTATATAATATTCATGCAAAGATAAATAATATTCTCCTACAATTACATCCACTTCTTAAAGAATAACAACAGATGGGTTTAAAATATTCAAACACCATTTAACACTTATGATAATACCATAATTTGTTAATAAATACCAGAGGGTCAATATGGTTTTCATTGTATCAAACCCTATTTCTGATCAAGTCTTGTCACAATGGAGGCACTTAATTTGTCTTCATAATGCACATTTTCTTTTAAATATATCTTTTAATGTAGTCATTTATGTAGAAATAACAGGAAATTCAATAAATTCCGATGATTAAAACAGCTGAGGGCATCATACATATAAATGGTAAAGAATAATAAATATTTAGTTGTGATAAATGTAAGTAAAGAACTTCCCATGGCCTGCACAGAGCCAACTTCCTAGCAGACTGACAATAATCCACTGAGAATAAAACAAATTAATGGGAACAGGGTAGCATATCAGTAAGCTGTTGGACTCCATGTGTCAACTTCATAATTCTGAATTAATTGTACCTGTTCTTTCAGAAACTTGGTCATACATGAGTGATCATTCATCACAAAATGAAGTTAATTTCAACTAAAAATAAAAATAAAATCCCTTTCATGAGTGAGAATCTGTAAGAAGTCAAATAGTTATAAACAGTAAAACTCAATACTTCTATTACCTTTGATGCTCAATGTCAATGGAAGGAGAAAAACTTGGACAAGTTACACTAACTAAAATTTTCAAACCATCACAAGTCTACAAACACACTACAAACAAAACCCTGGGTATAACAAACTAATGGGGGGGGGGGGGGGTGGTAATTCAGACCGTTTGTTAAATTGCACAGTTGTTTTTATGATGCCAGTAATGCATCCTTAGACCAAAATTTCCATTACGAACACCATTAAAATGATTAGTAATATGAACTGGACACGTATAATGACACAAGGTCCACTAAAACACAATGTAAAGAGATAATTAAGAAAAAATGCAATGGCCAAAAGCGGGCATTTTCAGTTTTAATGGACTTTGTCCACTGAAACTGAATATGTCCGCTAATGCCTCATGTCCATAAAAATCTGGCAATGCCAGACTGTCTGAAATTTGTTAAATCAAGGGTTTACTGTACTTACATATGTATTAAAAAAATAATTAGGCATATTACATTCAATGGTGGCACATTAAATTCTTTTAGTAATCATTAAAATACAAAACCTAAAGAAGTTCAAAGAGAAAAATTTATTACACCCCACTTTAGAGTGGATTTTGAGTTAATGAGGATGGATTGGAGAACATCTACAAGTTCATAATCATCATCATCATAATCACTATCACTGTTAGGATTTACTTCCTTCTTTCACTCATTTGTAGATTCACTGTAAAGGTCATGCTAATACCTGCATTAAATTATTTCACATTAGCAAATAATGTACACTCCAAAGTAGTAAAAACTGGGAGTCACTGAACTATAGCACCTAATCTAGTTATACAGTGAAACCTCTATCCATCGTTCCCGGAACTATCGTTTTCCCGGATGCATCGTCCGTTTTGTTCGGTCCCGAATACATCCCATATAAAATAATGTTACATTTTCCCGCTTCTATCGTTCCTCGAACTATCGTTTTATCGCATCGATCGTTCAAAAATCTTAGTCCCGGCCCACAATTTTCCCGCAATGATCGTTTCTGAGAATTTAAAATGCTGGGTTTAGAGATAAATTAATACCGAAAGACGCACAATGTTTTTGGAATACACAGTAGCGGTAACCTGTTATGTCGCCCAACCAGCACATTCTTTTGGAATGAGGGTCAGCGGTGCAGGGGTGATAGTTGGAGTGAATGGCGGTGCTCATTGTCAGAAATTTTACGATTTTAATTAGGGTGCACTCATATTTCGTTCCAGCGATGCCAAATGGCATGTGCACTGTGAATTTCTTCACAAATGCTTTTATTATAAGTACAAAGGAAAGGCGAGCGAAACTTTTTCATTCTTCTGGTTCATATCGTGTCTTCTACAGCTACGTTTCGTTGAGTTCGGCAGTAATAGTACTTCCATTTTTCCTGTTATAGTCCGCGAAGGTTGAGGGAGCGGTGAGGAAGAGGGAGAAACGACGAATGCGAGCCCGAACTTTGCCGAGTTTTGCCGAAGCACACGCTGCATTGGCGAAAGTGAAGTCGTTGTTTTATGCGCTTAATATTAGTGAACGTGACGAAGAAAACATTTTGAACGTGGAAAGTGCTCTGTTTGGTCTAAAACGTAAAGTTTCGACAAACCAGTTGTCCATTAAAGAC